AAACACACAATTGTAATATGCACAAAGCAAACAATGTCCTATAACTATCATAATTTTTCTGGCTTTCAAGCTTTAGTATAATGGCTTTTAAATCTTATTTTATGCTTGTCAATCTAAAGACTGCAACAAAGTTTCAAACTGAAGACAAAATATGCAATTATATGTACTGAAAACAACATAATATAATACATTATTTTATAGATTAAAACTTGGCTCTCTATTGGTTATAAATAATATAGTATACCATGTAAAAACTATTGGCAATTTGTGAAACAGAGGATGTGACAGATGGGGATGGCAAGTAAGTCTAATTTTCTAGTTTGTGACTCTATAAACAAATAAGACTGAAAGCTATAAAATCATGCTTTGCCTTAGTAGTATCTATTTCATAATGAGTAATTTACATTAAATTCCATACTTCTCAGAAGGGCAGTAAATAAATTAGAGAAGTAAAAAGACTTATAGAACAGATTGAAGATATTGTTTTGTATTTCCTAATAAAGTTAAGAACTTCAAACTTACATAATAATAATATTTGATTCATGATCTATGTTTTGATGCCAAGTTTATTTATATACATTCATAATAATGTATTTTAATTAAGTTTTGAATGAAACACTCTAAAAGATTGTGACATGCACACTTTTACCTACCTGTACTGAGAGGGTTAACCTGCTCCTCCCTATATTATTTGAACTTACATTTTTTCTCGATATTCTCCTACTGTAAGCAGTTCCTTTACTTTTAACTTTACATTTTTCTTCCTTAGAATTCTTACCTTTCACAAGTGTATGTACATCAGCCTGCATGTAATAATTGAGAATAATTTCTTAACGTATTCAACAGACAATCTTCTGAAAGCAAGCTTTTTGAACAAAAAACATCATATTAGAAAAGAAACTGTCACAATATTTTTCTAGGCTCATAAAGATATGTAATCCTATCCTTAAAATTACAAGCAAATTTGTTACCTATTAGATTAGTAATTAAATGTGGTTTTGTGTGTTTTACGAACATGTTAAACTATGAAAAAAAGTGATGTTATATGACAACTTAGATTACAAAACCTGATTCTAATAATTATTTTTTGTGATAAGTAACAACTTTGCTTATTAGCAACCATTACTAGAGGTTGCTTGAAAACACAAAAGTATAACCAACCTTGGCCAAATTTTATGAAAGAGATCCAGTTCGTGTGTACGGATGATCTCTGATCCCCAAGAGTCTTCGCTGCTTTGCCACACCACCTATTATGCATATACAATACAAAATAAAGAGATAATACATATTTCAGGTTAATAAGCAAATTCTTCTTAACAAGGAGCATTTTGTATACATGCAATTAATTTTCAAATTATGAGCATTTGATACATTGCAATTTGGCTATTCAAATTCTCTGACTTTTCCGAGTATTATACATTTTTTTCTTCAAAGAACCAGATGCACAACAGTTACTATCTTAGTAAGATAGAAATTTCTATTCTGTATAACATACATTCAACTACTGTACATTTGAAGTGTTTAATCCTTTAACACAAGCTTGTACATCCTATAGCTTTGTAAAATTCTACAACTTTCAAAGCACAGAGCTGTAAAAAGTTCCTTGTTTACCACTGTCTACTGTTTATAATATTTCTAAAATACCACATATTTCCAACTGTACATATTGAGATCCTCAAGGAAACAATTGGGCTATTTCTTTTCTGTGGACTTCTGTCTAATGCTAGTGTCCTTTAAAGAGACTCAAAACTCTTCTTAAGCTTTCAGGAGGGTAGTACATAACAAAATTTTGTTTTCAAGCACTAGTAGCAGTAATGTTACATAAAATGAATTTAATACCCAGATACAATGCACATGGACAACGTACATATTTGAGAAACACAGAAATATGTGGAAACAAGAAAGAGATCTTTAGTCGTAAAGTAATTTACAAAATACTCAAATTTCACAACCAGTTTTTATTTCATTTTATAAACTATTAGATTTTATATATTCTGTAGATACCCTAAATAGTGTCAATCAATATGAACACTGTATTAAAGAAAATTGAGACTGTCACACCAAATAAAAAATTACTAGTGTACAGATGAAGAAAGCTTTCTGACAAAACATTAATATATATCAATGTCAATTCACCGAAAAAAAAAAGTGAGATTAAAATAATGCAAATCAGCAGAAGTTTGGCATGAAAAATACTTATATCAATTTTATACATAAGATCCATACTTGCAATAAGATGGTGCAGAAGTAACCTAATTTCATGGTATTTGTAAGTCTTCCATAATAAGATTTTTCAAAGTCATGTTTGTGTTTCACTTTTTTTCTGTTACAATAACTGGTTGGGATGTCATTATTATTTAAAAATAGTGTGGAAGTGATTCTGTTATGAGGAGATCCTGAACTAAGGCAGCTGCAGATTGCAACAAAATTTGAGGTATCCTGAAGGGGAGAATTAATCCTCACTCTCACTTAAGCATTGGTCAATTGTCCACCAAGTTTTATGAAACTGGTTCTTTGACCAATTGTAAATTAGTGGAAGATATACTATGGTAATAGATGAAGACTTTTTGGACACAGTGGTAGAATATCTTTTATTGCAAGAAAAATGAGTATACACCAGAGAGTCTTGTTTTGGATTCTTAAGTAATATAACATCCATCCTTCGAAGCTACTACTTGTCTCATACATTGACAAAAGAAGATTCTAACCAGCATATGGATTATAGTAAATGATTTATGGCACAGGAGGAACTACAAGAACACTTTACCTAGATGTTTTTGACAGAAGAGGCAACATTTTATATTAATGGTGAAACAAACCATCATGTTCGTCAATACTTATTCGAAGAAAACACACACTGAGTTGCAGGCACCTGATGTCATGGAGTGGTTTGTTATAGCCTGACAGAGTATCATGTTGTTAATCCCTTTTTCATCAAGAGGTCACTCACTCAATAAGGCTACCTTGTTCTTTTGCAGGAGCACGTTGGCCCAGGATGACAGTGCACTGCCCCACTCTACATTAAATATAAGAATGTCATTTTTATCTGATAGATGGACAATACATCATGGACCAGTAGTATAGCTTGCATACTCTCCAGATCTTATATCATTATTTTTTTTTTTTTCCTTTTTGGGATACACCAAACATTTGGTGTTTGTCATATATGCACACAACCTGGATTTGAAGCAGAGAATCACAACAATGTGTAAAACTGTAAGTGTTAAAGAAAAGTGGATTACAACCTGAGAAAAACTGGCAGGGTATGCCTTAAGAAAAAAAATACTGTGGTGCACAAAATTTGCATCCCCTTGTATTTGTAACAAAAATGTTAAATATTGTCAACATTTAATAAGTTTTACTTGTCATATTATAGAAACTCTAACTCTCTGAGATTTAAAACAATTCATCTTGTTAGTATAGGATATGTTTTGATTAGGTTAGCTTGCACAGATTGCTTAAAAGAGAATGTCACTAACACTATCACTTTGAAACAAAACAGTATTAAAGTACCAACAGTCAAACTACCACATACATTTTCCCACCTTTTCATATTTTAACCTACTAAACATACTGTTTAATATTCCCTTTTTCTTTTAAACTCTAGCCAGCTCTTATATAGATTTTTGCTTATTCTATATTACTACTTCCTATAACATATTTCTTGATACCCCTAACTACTACTATTGGCCATTATTCTGATTTGTGTATAATTCAGACTTATACTGCATGTAGCAACTGTAATGATGATAAATTCAATACAGAAAAGTAACATGCAGATAAAGATATTACAAATTATCAAGTATAGTACGTGGGATTGGAAAGCAACTTACCCTTAGGGATGACAATGTGTAAGAAAAAGTTGTAAACAATAGTGACACCAGATGACACATTCTGAACTTAGCTATAAAAATTAACTCTGGAAACAAGTATGATCGGATGAAAAAGTGGAGTGTATTTTCATTAATCAATATTCTTCCTTACTCACTAATTATGTGGAATGATTTCAAACTCAAATATTTTGTTAACAACCAAAAAGAAGTAGGTAACTGCCTCAGCTAGGTAATGCTGACAGAATTCACAGCTTCATGCCATTAGCACTAGGATTAGTAAATGTTGTAAAACTGTGAGATAAAGTAAATATCTGCTGGCTGTAGTGATTAGGTGTTTGGACTACAAGCTCTCTATTAGTAAGGTTTCATCCCTGCTGGTGCAAGAGCTCCATTCAGAGCTTTTTGATTTTGCCATAAAATGGATAAAACTGAAGCTGCCTCTCTTATTAAAGGAGGCTATTGACCAAGGTAATACAGGTGATAATGTGACTGGTGATGATAGGTTACTTAAGCTGAAAAATATGCTTTACCAGCTGCAAAAATTCTCCTGCATGAAGTGCTACCTAGATCAAACAGTATCAACAGATTTACACTCTGGAGAAAAATATCCCTGAATGATGTTACAAATCGAATCAGGTGATGCACAGTGGATATCTTTCTATTAAAATAATAGTGTGTATGTGAGAGTAGGACATGAATTAACTATAATTTCCAAAACTTTACACAGACAGCTGGTCAAAGTAAGTTATCCAATTACAAGGAATTTTGAGATCATTCCCAGGCTTAGAAAAAGAAATGAAAATAGCTTGATACCAAAGATCAGAAAACTCCTCCTCCTCCTTTCAGCTCCAGTTAAAAAAGAACTATAAAAAGACCAAGACAGGCAAGACAGATATGGTATTGCAAATTGCAACACATCATCAGTTCAAGGTGATGTACTGATTGGTTATTTGGCATTTTTTGGCACAAAGCAACTAGGCTATCTGTGCCAAACAATTGGTATAAATCTTAAAAGTAAAATTCTAAGACTGAACTAGAATAAAAAAGGCCAATGGCTCGGATAAATTTAAAAACACAATCAAGTTGGACAGTGTCACCATCGCCAATGACACTGTCCAATGTCAGGGGTAGACCCATAGATAATATGTCTAAAATGGTGCCGTCACTCATGGTCGTAACGATGGCACAATAGTAAAATGTCTACTGTTGTGATTTCAGTGTTACAAAGGCCACACATTGGTGGATAAGTCCCAGATAAAAGAAGACAATGAGTAAAAAATCTGTGACCAATGCATAGCCTAGCCAGGACAAATTCCTCCTTATCCTTACAGAGACAAGACGGCCAAAAAGCAACAAAAGGTTTGATCTGGAAAAACTTGTTATGACATTGCTCACTCCAAATCAACTGCCAGCTGATGCAAAGCCATGCCTTGAATACAGAATTGTAGTCCATATATGGGACAGTCATGGCTGTGACAACACCAGAGCAGATGGACTTAGCTGCAAAATCAGCGAGCACATTCCCACGAATACTGACATGGCCAGGTATCCAGAAAAACTGGATAGTAATGCAAGATAGAGAAAAATGGGCCAGTCGTTGTTGAATATCAATGAGAACAGGGTGAGAACTAATATTAAGCAATTCCAGGGCCAGTAGAGATCTAAGAGTATAAATGGTACAATCAGTTTACTGCATTGCTCCTACGTGATCCAGAGAAAGAGGAATGGATTACAACTCAGCAGTGAACACAGAAACTGTAGAGGGGATCCTGCAAGCAACCACTGAGCCACAACAAACAATGACAGAGCCCATAGAGTCACCTGATTTTGAACCATCTGTAAATATGGAAACAGAAGAATGGTTCGAAAGATGTTCTGCTTATAACCATCCCCACTTGTGAATTTTTTTAGAGTCACCTGAGTAAGGAGGTTACTCCCAACTGGGATGGGCTGATCATTGGAGATAGCAACATCATCCAATGTCAGACCCAATTTAGCCAGCTGCACCTGGATATCAAGGCCAAAAGGAGGAATGGCAAACCATTTATACCAAAAGAGCATAACCCACTGTGGAAGGAAGACACAAACCCAGGTGGGATGCTGTGGTAAAGATCAAAGTTTAGTTGCATAATTCAAATGGCAGAGATTAAGAGCAGGTTTTGTTGGACTCGATGTACAAACTGGACTGGAGAAGTGCAGAAAGCCCCTGTACAGAGCTGTAGCCCACGATGGTGAATGGGGTCCAACATCTTCAAGACAGAGGCCCTGGCAGAACCATAGACCCATAGTCTAGTTTGTTTGGATCAACTGAGGGTATGATAGATCTTGAGCATAGAACATCAATCCACTCCACAATAGGTGGAAGGGATGTTCAGTGCCCTTGTACACTTGACATGTAGCTGCTTGATATGAGA